ATATGTCTTGACCTATTCAAGTTTCAAGATTAATAGTGTGTTTAGAATTCAATTTTTAAAATTTCTTAACCCTTTTTTCATCAACAAGATTTGGCTCCCTTTCTTCTCTGTGTTGAGCTCAATGGTTTAGAAGGATTTCCTCTGACAGGGATTAGATGATTAGAATTCTTAAGAAATCTATTTTATGACTCGGGAATACGGCGAGTAGGATATAGAAGAAACAACAAATATGCCATTTTTGTATCTGCTGTACACCTACCATGTGCCTGAGGGAGAGGTGTGTTCAGTTCACTTCAGGGATTACTGTGGCAATGCATCAGTAACCCGGAAACGAGAATTTGGCTGTTTCTGGATCAGAGAATGAGGAAACAAACCAAATCAATACTACTAGATTCTACTTTTGGCACTCAGTTTTAATAAGTAGAGTTTTAGGGTAAATCATCAAAAAGCATTGGTACTTGTACGCTAAATACCATATGAAGAAAATAGATGGATTAAATGCCTGCCTTCTAGAAGTTTATGTAAGATTAGAAGTTATGACTATGACAATAACACATTAATATGAATAAGATATTACTCATGGTAGTGATACATTGATATGAATAAAGCATAGATAGATAGGTTTCATTGTTATGAAGATCTTCTATCTATGTAAGGGCATGAAATGTACCTAATATCTGTGATGTTTTGTGGCTTGGATTTAACCATAAAGTTTTATGTGCTGCTAAAGCTTATCCTAGAAACTATTACTGTTGCTTTATAACATCTGAGAATGTATTTGGCATATCCATGGGAGCCCTTTACTTCACTTTTCAGATAAACTTCTTCCGGAATAAACACAAAATTCATATCCAAGGAACTGATCTTCCTGATCCAATTACTACATTTCAGCAACTTGACCAGGAATATAAAATCAATTCTCGACTGCTTCAAAATATTCTAGATGCAGGCTTCCACATGCCTACACCAATCCAAATGCAAGCCATTCCAGTTATGCTGCATGTAAGTATGAAGGTCTAGAATGCCTGGAACATTCCTTCCTTTGTGTGTTTGCTCATTCTCCTCCCTCTCTCCTTGAAATCTTTCTTTTACCTTATCTCCCCTATTAAAATCTTTTGCTTGCTTTTAAGGTCCATCTCAAATGCCTGTGCCTCCATAAAACCTATCTTGATCACTACAACTAGATGTGATCTTTTTCCTTTACCAACACCCTTTCGCCTACACCCCAATTCTCCATGGTTTTTGGTGTGTTCTTTTCCTTGCAGCATTTATCTTACATTTTACACTACTATGTATTCATACAATTATGTTTATTTTTTCACTTCACTAGAGTGTAAATAAACCCTCTGAGAATGGGGACTATGTTCTGTTCATTCATTGTTGATTTGCTTTATAATGCCCAGGAAGTATTTCAGAAATACAAATGCTTTCTAAAATTCTTGTACATAACCTGACTTA